TAATTCTCAAACCATAATAATAGATTCAGGGTCTCTGATTACGGATAGGAGCTTAAGAGGTCTTCAAAGTCATTTCATCCAAATGTTCACGCTTGAATCTGTACACATCCTAGCTAATGGGGAACATACTTCCAAGACTATAATAATAATTCACTGATTGAATTATACTGGTGAGTTGGAAAATCTTTCCCTTATGTGGAGCCAGAATAAATCTGTCTTTAGATTAAATAAGGTAATGCCTAGAATGTGCCCACCACCGTGCCTCTCCAACCAAGAAACACGTTCGCCATCCCTGCTTGCTCTATTACAAACTATACTTCAGTCTAGTTTTCCCTTAGGATGCCAGAAAACAAATGTAATTCTGTTTCTCTGAGACAGTCCTTCAGATATCTGAAGACAGTGCTTCAGGGTCCCCCTGAGGCTCTCCTCACCCAGGATAAACAAATACTCCAACCCCACTCTCAGATTCTCATTGGTAAGCAAGAGGCAATGCTGTGCACACTGTCATTCCACAGCCAATGCAGGATGTGAGGTTTCACAGATACTGATAGAACAGATGATGAAGCAGGCTTGGCAGACCAGGTTGTGTGGATCACAATCTCTGCAAAGGGAAAAGGGGAAGTAACCGGCCAGGGCAAACCTGAACCTGTATCTATAGCTCCATCTTGCTACAGTTATTGTTCAGCCAGCTCTAGAACTCATTCTATTAACAAAAAACAAAATCAATCCCTTGACCTCAGGTTAATTTGTACTATTTCAGACCCATCGGTGCAGCCCCAGGACATTGTTGTTTTGGAGATCCAGAAGTGTGCAACATGGTCTAAATCATATAAAATCAGTCTATGCTTAGAAGTAATTAATCATCAAATGGTCTCCATTTATGAAAGCTCAAGTGTATATGGTAGCAATGATTTATCCAAGGTCAAATAGGAAATCTGTGTGAAAGTGTGGCCAGACCAGAATGATGAGAGAATCAAACTTACCATGGGAAAGGAGGAAAGGCAAATGAAAGCAAAGAGGAGGAGGTCCAAAAGGTCCTCATTGGAGTGTTTCTCCTTCTTTCCCGCCATCTTTGCGAGGCAATATGGGGTGGTAGGCACAATTTTGCAGCCAGAAATTCCTAGGTGCACCGGCCGGCTCGACCATACATGAGGTACATACTTTGTGCTACTTACGCTTCTTCAATAAGGACTCCCTCGAAGGAGTCCTAGAGGGTATTAACAAGAGTAGCTAATATCACACTCACCCTCCTAGAAATTGTACTCACAAACTCGAGAGAGAAAGAGAGAGAGAGAGACTTAAAAGCATCAATAAATTGGAGAGTATAGAGCTCTTGAAGGAAAGGAAGCATGCTTGGTGAAATTGTACTTTTATTTACCTGACTTCTCCCTTGTAGAGATTTCAAAATGTTAAAAGAATACTCCAAATATAGTTCAACCAGAATCAGCAGGTGTCAACTTAATTAAGAAGCCAGAAATCCGAATCCAGAGGTTCCAGAAAGGCTGAAAATCGGGAGAGGAAATCCTAGAAATCCTAGAAAGGAGAATTCACAGAGACACATGCACACACGCACACACACACACACACACACCACACACACACATACACACACACACACATCTCAAATTTTTACACAGATATCCCTAAAATCCAAGGCTGATCAGTGAACTGTATATGAATGGAGAGAGAGACTCCAAGATGCCTAGGAAGGAAATAACAGTGGGAAGAGCTGAGCTATCATTTCAGTAGCTGCCACTAGAACTCCAAATTAGCAAGTCTCGATAAATAGCATGATATTCCCACTGAAGTCCCTCCCCTCCCCAAGTCTCATTCCTTAGGAATTAAGATTCCATCCCAAGACCAAAGGCTACAATAAGCTAAAATACATCCACCCTTAAACACAGTCTTTAACAATGTGACTCCACAAAAACAACATGATTCGCCCTAAATTTATCTGCCTTGCTGAAACAGCACTCATTACTACTCAAAGAGAAGCCATCTAGGGCTGGGAAGGTGGCTCAGTGGTAGAGCGCTTGCCTTGCATGCCTGAGGCCCTGGGTTCAATTCCTCAGCACCACATAAGCAAAAAGAAAAGAGCTGGAAGTGGCACTGTGGCTCAAGTGGTAGAGCGCTAGCCTTGAGCTGAAGAGCTGAGGGACAGCGCCCAGGCCCAGAGTTCAGGCCCCACGACCGGACCCAAAAAGAAAAAAAGAAAAAAGAAATGTACTCAATGCCTGTTGTAACTGTAACACCCCCTGTACATCACCTTCACAAGAAAAATGAAATTTAAAAAATAAAAATAATAAAAAAAATAAATGATTGGTAAGAAGGGATGCACATGTCATTCTGCTATTGGAATTGGAAAAGTGCAACTTTATAGTAATAATAATAAACTTGTCAAATACTTCAGGAAAAAGGATTTTTAGACAGGACATGAAAGTTTCTTTTAGGGGGCAGTACTAGGGTTTAGTGCTTACTAGGGTCTCATGCTGAGTATCACTTGAGCCATGCCTCCTTTTTGTTTTAGTTTGCTTGTTTTTTTTGTTGTTGTTTTTTTTCCCCCGACCCCCCTTGGTTTTTTTTGTTGTTGTTATTTAATAGATTATTGCTTTTCTTTTCTTTTTTCCCCCTAGGCTGGCTTTGGACCACCATCTTCCTACCTAAAGCTTCCCACATAGCTGGGGTCACAGGCATTGAACACCACTGCACACTTGTTTCTTGAGGTGGACTCTCACATTTTCCCTGGACTGGCCTCAAACCACAGTGCTCCCACTTTCTGTCTCCTGAGTAGAAGGGATTACAGACATTCACTACTACATCCAGCTGGGGGGGAAAAAAAACTCAAATGAAAGTTCTGGAACCTAGAGATACTGACAGGGTAAATTAGACTTTGCCAAAGAACCACGCAGACATCCAGGTACAGAGAACAAACAAGGGTTTATTGCTGGGAAGGGGCCAGCAAGACCTCCTCTCACAAGGGAGAAGTAAGAAGAAGCGCTGGCTATTCTCTGGGGTGACCTGTATAACCTAGGAGGTTTACGAGGGGCTAGAAGGGGCTAGGAGGTAGAGACCCTGGTGTGGATGTGAGGGCCAGGGGCTTCATCATGGCAGACTAGGATTTATGGCCACTGTCCAAATAGTAGATAAGGGGTCTTTCAACTGCCCAGACCTGAAGGTCACTCTAAGGGGCTCTTGATGCTTTATAGGGTGGTAGCTGCCCCCAGAGAAGTGCCATTCCAAGGTAAAAGGGGTTGGAAGTTGATTACTTACTGCCTTTACTAAATGGGTCTAATATTGCCTACGCATTGCTACGCTGTGGAGAGGGGAAGGAGAGTGCTAAGCTATGGGACGGGAGCTCATTTTGCTAACAGATACAATATCTGAAATGTATTAATTGTCAAATTGAATCAAAAGAAAAAATGAACATAAAATAATGAAGGAATGTCACATTTGCAGGCAATAGAAGTTATTCAGGTGGGCACAAAAAAGAAAAGAGACCAATAAAAATAAGCAGAGCCCCAGTGATTTGCACAGTCCAACATACATAAAATTAACCTCCTGGAAAACAGCAGAGGAAATAATTTAAATATTGGTTAGTAGTTTTCTAAATCTATTCAGAAACCTAATTCCACAGACCCATGATCCTGAACAACCCCATGCAGGAAAAATACAAAAAAAATCACATCTGGGCATAACATAGTTAAAATCCTGAAAATCAAATGTAGAGAGTGAATCTTAAAAGCAAGCAGGGTTGGAGGGATTAGTACATACAGGAGAATTGTGATTGATTCTCAGTTGAAAGATTTTAAGACAGAAGACAGAAACAGCATCTTTGAAATGCTGAAAGAAACCATTTATCAACATATACTATGTTGATAAACTATGTTTCAAAAATAAAGAAAATACTTGGCTAGGTACCAGTGGCTCACACCTATAATCCTAGCTACTCAGGAGGCTGCTATCTGAGGATCATGGTTTGAAGCCAGCCCAAGGAGGAAAGACTGTGAGACTTTTATCTCCAACTCATTACCAAAAAGCCAGATGTAGAGCTGCGGCTCAAGTGGGAGAGCACTATTCTTGAGTGAAAAAGTTAAGGGACAACACTCAGTCCCTGAGTTCAAGCCCCAGGACCGGCACAAAAACAAAAAGGAGAAAACTGAGACATTGAAAAGTTCAGATCTATAGGGAAAATTAATACTAAAAATGACATACATGTGGGTAAATGTTTTCTTTCTTCCTTAAAAATTGATGCATAGCTAGGGAAAAACAAAGGGGGGGTAACAATGCTCAAGAGGAAATATACTTGTTACCTTACTCATATAACCGTAACCCCTCTGTACAGTATCTTTACAATAAAAAATATTTTTTAAAAATGGATGCCTAAGACAAAATCGTATATTGTATAGCACAAATGAAAACATTTTATATGTAGAAGTAAAATGTATGAAAGCAATAGCATAAAGAACAGAAAAATGTAAATAGAATTGTGCATGATATGGTATATTATTTAAAGATAGAGTATGATAAAAATGATTATTACAAGCCTATAGCAATAATTAAAAATAATAATAGCCAGGCATTGATGGCTCATACCTGTAATCCTAGCTACTTAGATCTGAGAATTGCAGAAAAGTCTGTGAGACCCTTATCTCTAATTAACCACCAAAAATCCAGAAATGGAGCTGTGGCCTGAGTAGTAGAGCACTGTCTTTGAGAGAGAAAAGCCAAGCAAGAGCAGGAGGCTCTGAGTTTAAGCCTCTATACTGGCATCATCATCATCATCATCATCATCATCATAGCAGCAGCTGGGCACCAGTGGCTCATGCCTGTAATCCTAGCCATTCAGGAGGCTGAGATCTAGAAGATAGAGATTCAGAGCCCAGCCCAGGCAGGCAAGTCTGAGAGACTCACATTTCCAATTCATCTTCCGGGCTGGTCACCGCTCTTGGACCCTGGGGCTGATTCAGAGAGTGAATCTCTTCCTGATTCCTGTCTTGCAGCTCACCTACCTGCCCCCGCCGTGGGGGGAGTGCAGGTCCTCAGAGATGGGGCTCGACTTCTTTCCTGTTTACAGCATCACCGCCTGTCGTATCGACTGCGAGACGCGCTACATTGTGGAGAACTGCAACTGCCGGATGGTGCACATGCCAGGTCAGTCCCCGGGCCGCCCTGGACCTGCTTTACATTCCTTTACACTTCCCACATGATGGGAAAATCTTGGCCCATTCCACGAGGCTTCAGGGGGAGTGCTGAGCTGGGGAGACTGCTCCTGCTTGCCTACATGTCCAGAGGGGCCGCAATCAGGGTAGCATCTGGGGTCAGGAGCGTTCAGACGTTTGGAGCCTCTGCATCCCAGAGTTCAATGTCTGCCCATCGCTTTCTGCTGGTGCCTCCTAGAGCTCGGGGTCCAGATGACTAGATGGTAGGCTGGCACATCCAGATGTCTGCTGCTTCCATCCAGATGTTTCCCTTCTCCCATCCAAACGTCTGGCACTCTTTCGAGTACAGCAAAAGTCTATTAGCCAGCAAATAAATGCGTCTGGATGCCACTTTCGTTGTCAGACTAATAACGCATAGAGCCATCTCATCAGAGGCAGCTGGTCTGTCAGAGGCAGGAGTTCCGTGTTGCAGCGTGAAATGATAACTGGGGCTGCAGGCAGTGGCTTCCGCTTCTGATGCATGTGCCTCTGTTTGCTGACTGTGTGGCTTGATACAGGTTACTAACCCTCTCTGTTCTCACTTGATCATCTTTGAAATGCATTCATTCACTAGTGCAAGAATAAAGTCAGATTTGGATGTAAAAATGCTCTGCAAGCACATGAGGAGAGAGAACCAAAAGTCATGACCTCCTACATGCCAGAAACATTACTTGGCTTTTACACTTAGTGGTTGTTGTTTCTAAATTCTGCCGTACTTTAAGATTGATTTAATAGAATCTATACATGGGTCATTTTGTTCATGACCAATTGAATAGGCCTATGGCTAAATTATCAACTTCTAGCCTATATATAAATAAATACACATGACAATAAATTTGTATTGCTTTAAACAGTAATATGAGCATTGCCTCTGAGCTTCCTGGAAGACAGAGTAAAAAAGGAAATATGCCATTTAAAAGTTATTATGGAAAAAAGCCAGGTGCCAGTAATCCTAGCTACTCAGGAGGCTGAGATCTGAGGATTGTGGTTCAAACCAGTCCAGGCAGGAAACACTGTGAAACTCTTATCTCCCATTAGCCACCAGAAAATCAGAAGTGGTGCTGTGGTTCACTCGCCTTGAGCTAAAGAGCTGAAGGACAGCGCCCAGGCCCAGAGTTCAAACCCTATGACTGACCAAATAAAAAAGTTATTATTGGAATAAAACTAAAAATAAACTAATTATTGGAAAGAAGGCTGCATATCACCTTCCTATTCTTTGGTCCTGCAGGCCAGCCCCCCTGCATAGCATCCTTGGGAGAAGCAAATTAGCCAGGCAGGGCCCCTGGTCTCCAGCTCTCACCTATTCATACAGCTCACACAGCAACTCAGAACTGAGCCCTCAACTCTGGGAACTGTTCCTGGCTGTCAGCTAGGAGTCTGCTAGCAGCCTTTCCCCAACTACCACCAGGCAGCATTGACTGCCAGGGAAACCAGATGTTGCTGACATGCATGGTTCTGCCTGAGTGATGACCCTGCTTTTCCTCTCTGCAGGGGACGCTCCCTTCTGCACCCCTGAGCAGCATAAGGAATGTGCAGAGCCTGCCTTAGGTCAGTACAGGGGTACGGAGGGGCAGAAGGATGGCAGGGAGGGCGGCAGTGCTGAGATGATGGAGATCATCTGGCGTGGGCACAGAGGGCAATCAGGGCTGAGCAGAAAGCTGCAGGGCAGAAGGGAGTCAGTCACGGGGGGAGGGGGAGGGGGCAGGGAGAGGATGCAGGAGGGAATGTGTGATAAGGAAAAGGGGAGGATCAAGGGAGAGGGGAGAGCTGGAAACGAAGCTGAGGGAGAGGAGGAGGAACTGAAGGCTGGGAGGTGAGGTCACATCCTCATTCCTGTGTACGATATGCCCTCAGCTGCCTCCTCCTCCCCTTCCTTCTTCCTCCCTCTTTCCCCTTCCTTTCTTCCTCCTCCTCTTCCTCCTCTGACAACCTCTAGGGTTGTTTGTGAGCTCGAACATAGAACAACTGCTGGATCCCCAGCTGGAAAGCTGGGGAGGAGGGGGTTTGCACCACCAGCTTCTCCCCACACCTGGCTCTCTCCAGCCCCAGGAAATGGTTCCTAATCCAGACAGACAGAGAGAATTGTAAACAGTCCATCCGGTGGAGCCAAGTGGAGGCAAAGCTGGACACTCATGTTTTTGATGGTTCCAGAAGGACTAGAGAGGAGAGAAGAGACAGTGACTCCTGATGGCCTAGCCACAGGAGCCAAGATTGCCTCAAAACCCATTACGGAAGAGCTGTGATGCTCCACTATGTTTTAAAGAGAACTATGAAGTTCCAAGAGAACTAGCAGGCTCGCAGAAAGAAAGCAAGGCCAACCTATAGCAAGTGGGCTATCTCCCACTCCATATTCTAAAGTTCACCCTCCCCATCCCAGGTCATGTATCAGTGGCTACATCTGGCTACTCCAGACCACGAGTCCCAGCCCCATCCCTGCCTAAGACCCTCTACCCTCTCTCTTCCAGGTCTGCTGGCAGAAAAGGACAGCAATTACTGTCTCTGCAGGACTCCCTGCAACCTGACCCGATACAACAAAGAGCTCTCCATGGTGAAGATCCCCAGCAAGACATCAGCCAAGTACCTGGAGAAGAAGTTTAACAAATCGGAAAAATATATCTCGTAAGTTAAGTGGACCTTGTAGAGAGGGGTAGAGAGAGGATACACGGGGACCAATAGAGGAGAAGGGCAAAAGGCAAGCAGACAGTTTAATTTAGCAAGCATTTAGCAAGCATTCACTGAACACCTGCTGCGCGCTGAGCTCAGAAATGATCCAGATGATCATCTCCAGGAGAGACAAGTACATGAATGGGGCCATATTGGCTGTCATGGCAGTATGCAGAAATAAAGTCCTAATGGTAGTTGGGGGGGGGGGATCAGGGAAAGCCTGAGAGATGTCATTTTTAAGATGTTATCAGAGTTGTCCAGGGAGACTTTGCACATTCTGGTGCCTGTGCCTGGAATGCTGTTCCTGCCACTCTTGGCCCAAGTGACCCCTCATTGTACACAACTCTGCTGAAATCTCAGATGACTCAATTCAGTCCCCCTCCTGTGGCTTTCTCTCCAATACTGAGCTGTTTTCCTGTATAGCACTCAATGGCCCTGTCATGTGGAATTCCACCTGCCCACCTGCCCCACTTGACTGAAAGCAAAGCAAGAAACTCTCTCTCTCTATTTCCCTCTCCCTCTCCCTCTCTCTCTCTCTCTCTCTCTCTGTCTGTCTCTGTCTCTGTCTCTCTGTCTCTCTCTCTCTCATTCCTTCCTTCCCTGGAGTCAGGGTCTAACTATATGTAGCTCAAGCTTCCTCGAACTTTCAGTCCCCCTGGCCCCCCGAGTGCTATGATTACACTCTCAGTTCTGCAAATTTGTACATCCAGCCATTGCTCCCCTCTAGAACATTCCACAATGATGGAACTGTGCCCCATCTTTGGTGTCCTGTATGGCAGCCACCAGTGACGATGCGATTGAGCATTCACAACATAGCCTGTGGGATGATCAAGGAGCTAGGTGGTGACTTATATTTTATTTGAATCACCCTAACCATTTTAGAAAGACTCTTCGGGTGGTGGTCCTGCAGATGGGTGGAGAGCCAGGCGGGGAGCACGGGGGACCTGCTTAGGAGATGGTTGCCATGAACCAGGCAAGAGATGGTTTTTGAACGGCTCCTGGGACATCCAGGCATGGAGACAAGACCTGCTCCGTTCTTTTCCAGCCACTCTCTCTTGCCAAGACAGTTGTCAGACCTCATCCTGGATAGCAGATGCTCAACAGGTTGAGGAAAGGACCATGGGGAGCCACACTGGAGGAGAGCAGGAGAGAGGAGATGCCAGGTCCTGCTGTTTGGTAGACATTCTGCAGGCAGGAATGACTTTACTGCCAAGGCAGGGCTCATGAACACACCTGCCCACAGGAGCAGCCTAGAGGAGCTCTGGGGCTTCTGTTGGGAACTTCCCAACCAGACATGGATTTGCTTCCTGCATTTTTTTTGTTTTTTGTTTTTGTTTTTACTTTGGCAAGCAAATCAATTGTGTCAGGACAGCACCTTCCAGCATAAGTAGCTTGATAGCAATCCCAAAAGAAATCTGGGTAGGGAGCACCCAGGAGATCAGCCACTAAGTCCAAGTCAACCTGGTAGGTCCTTGCCGGGGGAGGGTGGGTGGTGCTCAGAAACCTAATAGCGAGCTGACCTCCTGGGAAGGATGCTGAGAGAGATAAGGGCAATGAGGGCAGTTGATAGGCTCCTCTGGTCCTGGCCAAGTCAGGACCCTTAATATTGAGTTCTAGTTCTACCTTTGGGCAAGCTCCCCTCCTCCTCCCGGGGCCTCCACTTCGCCATCTATCTGGGAGAAAGTGGAGTTAGATGATCCCTCTGAATGCCCAGAGTTCTAACCACAGGTGGGTACTAAATATTCCCTCCTCAGAGAGAACATCCTCGTTCTGGATATATTTTTTGAAGCTCTCAATTACGAGACAATTGAACAGAAGAAGGCGTATGAAGTTGCTGCCTTACTTGGTGAGTCGACACGTCTATTGCTCAAATTTCCAATCTCCCAGGGAGCAAGAGAGAGAGAGAGAGAGAGAGAGAGGAGAGGGTGGGTGGGTGGCTGGGTGGGTGGAAGACAAGCAGACACATAGATACATAAGCCTCCTAAGAAGTCAGCCTTTTTTAATTTACTAATCACGCCCTCTTGCCTTACACCACACCTGCCCCAGTAGAAACTCCACAGTGGTGAAGATTTTAGGCCCAGTTCAACCCTCAGTTTAGGCCTCCTGTTTCTCCTTCAGGCAACAAAGAGATCACATGAGCACAAGGGTCCCTGTGGGGACTTGCCAGTCCTGCTCTCTTGAATGTCACGGTCTTCTATTTCCAGGACGCAGGTGGCATGCTGGGGTCTAGAAGAAGAACAAAGCTGTTATATAGAAGGGATGCTTAAATGCCCCCAGGTGGCATCAAGTATAGTCAGGGTCCAAAAGAAGCCCTGCTTGGGGAGCAGCATTGTTGTATTGAGAAGGCCAAGTGTGGCCTCCTGGACCAAGAGCCCTTTGTCAAACACAGTTAAGAGCTATTCTTCCCAGATGCCCACAAACTTGACGGCCACACCACAAGTTCACATCCATTGGCACAGAATGGGTACAGAGAGTTCACTTCGACCCTGCCCCCAGCCCAACTGGAACCTCACAAGACCCCTGATAGCACAGAGTCAAAAGACCCAAAGGATCTGCCCCTGGATCTCCCATGCCAGCTCACACCCACTCTTGAGAAAGGGCACCATGCCAGGTGCCAGCAGCATCCTGGGACAGGCAGGTTCACCCTGGCAGTATAGAGGGGGGAGAGCTGGCTTTACAGCTGAGTGCTGTGAGGATATAGACAAAGTTGCTTCAACTTGCCAACCCTCAGCTCCCATGTCTGCCAAATGGGATACATCATACCCATTATGCCAGCCAGGGTTCCTGTCACAGAGGGCAAGTTCTGAGGAAAATGACTTTGAGGAGCGTGGCTCACTGTTTCAGAAGCTCCAAGTCCATTGTGGATGGAGGAGAGCACGGAGGAGCAGCAAGCTCATATCATAGTGGCCAGGAAACAGAAAGGAGAGAATACCTTTGTTCACTGTCCGCCTCCTTTTCCACCTTTTATTCCATTCATCCCCAGCCTATGGGATGGTGCCACGCATATTCAGGCACAACCCAGAGCATGCTTTACTAATCTCCTAGGCATTTCACCATGTAATCAAGGTCACAGTTCAGGTGAAGCACATCCTTTTCACAAGTTTTTAGGGATGCTTAAATGTAATCAAGCCCTTGCCCAGACAAAAGTCCATCAGTAATAGTTGCTGGTACCTAGACAATCACCATGCCAGGCACCCTGGCTCAACTGAAATGTCCAGGACCATCGGAGTATTTCTACAATTCCTCTAGACACAGAGAACAAGACCATCTCTCAGTGCCATCTGGATTAACGTCATGGTGACCAAAGGCACTGAGTCAAGAAATTCAAACCCTGGGGCCAGGATAAGCGTCAAGCCCGCGCACCTCTATTTCCTAATGATGATTCCAAGTGGGTCTCTATCCTTCCCCCAGCATAAGCTCAAACTCTTTATCTCTCTCTTTCTTCTCTCCCCCTTCCTCTCTCTTACACACACACATACACACACACACACACACACACACACACACACACACAAGGCAGGAGGGCCTGAGCTCTGAATCTGTCACATCCGCATCAGAGATGAGGATGAGCTTGTTCCTAGCATCCTGTTCCCACCCAGAATAGCCTGCTGAGGAATTCATGCTGCCATCTGTACCTTCTGTGACAGGAGCATGTGTCACTTGCAAGCTCTCAGCCATCAGGCCCAGCCTGGCCCTTCTCATACCCAGTGGCCATATATATGCACGGACCTCAGGCAAGTACTCACTGTACCCATGCCAACCTGCACACATACAACCACCTGGGGGACCCCATATCCATGTACATCTATACAGCTGCCCAGAGACGGGTCCATGCTTGCACAAACCTAGGCAGTCATGCTGCACAGCTACACACTCACATGTTACATAGCATGCACAGAAACACACCTACACATATGCACACGTGCTCTGCATTCTCAGACACACTCTGCCCGCTTCCATAAACACACTCACATATGTGAAGACATACTCAGTATACCCAAATAGGCAGAGATAGCCACTCACATAAAGCCACCAAAAGCCAGACATCCTGCCTGCATCTGGCAAAGGCATGCACACACATACACACACGTGCGCACACACATACTACCTAATCCACTCCATTCCAGCCATGCTACACAAACATAAACACAACCCTCACACATGACACATACATCTAGGAGCTCACAGTCCCCAATAAGCTTGCATTACAGAGAAGAGTAGGGAGGAAAAAAAGAAAGTGAGGCCATTCGGAGCCCAGCACCCCTTTCCCACCAGCTCTGCTTGTCCATCTAGGCTGTTGGGCTCCACCTAGCCGCACACACAGGAAGAGTGAGGAAGATTCGCACATCAGAAAAACCACCGACCAAGAAGTCAGCCTGGGATCTCCAGGATGCTTACAAACTCACCCCAACAATGTCTCCACCCCTCCTATCCCTCTCCTCCAACCCCAAGACTGACAGCCAGAGATTACAGCTGGGAAGGGCCCCAGGGTTCAAATCCTTCACCCTTCCCAAGCACCACTGCCAAACATCCTTTGGAAACAAGGTCACTGAGAAGTGCAGAGCTGTCAGAGCCACAGAAGTTAGTGGTGACTGCAGACTGGCTTTATTGCCCTGTATTATCCTCAGTTTTGCTGGGATCTAAGCATTTGGAGATCCTGATATGAACTAAAATCTCTCTTGCTACAGATGCCCAGGTGCGCACACCCCAGGCCTTCCATTTGCAACCACATGAGTGGTTCTCAAACCCTGGTGGGGCTACGAACTACCCAGGGAACTTGAAAGTTCATACATTTCAGACATCATTCCCAGAGACTCTGATTGTCTAGGCCTCTGGTGACATAGAGGTCCAGGCATCTACAGAATTTGATGCAGAGGATTGGAAGACAAATCTAAAAACACGTTGACCAAGAGAGTCCCTCTATGCCACAGTGAAAATCTCCCTCAAGGAAGAAAGGATACTAAGCAGTGGGCCAGAAAGAAAAGAGATCTCCTGTAAACTCCTGCCAAGACTGGCACACGATCCAAGCTGGCCCGGAAGGCTGTACTAGGATGGTCATGGTTGTGGGTGGGAGTGATCTGGGTGCTACTGCTTTGGACACCTGAGCTCAAGTCATCTGACACATGCTTCTCTGTCTATACTACACTCTCATCCAAGTCAAGGATCCACTTCCAGTCTCTGTTCCCAATGCAGGGTCCATTCACTGGGTCCTGGGAACCATGGAACAACAGGTCTGTGAGCCCCTCCAGGAAGCAATCAGTTTAGTCCCTACCCAGTGGTGACACAGTCAGCTGTCAGGGAAGGTGGCCTTTGTCAGAGGCTTAGCCCTCCCATGACAAGATCTAACCTCCCAGTGAACCTTGCTCAGATATTCTGGCTTCTGAGTTCTTCATGTGTCCACCCCTTCTTGGAGGTGATCTGACTACAACTCAATCTTTGATCTTTTCCCTCCCTCTCCAGGTGACATTGGTGGTCAGATGGGATTGTTTATTGGTGCTAGTATCCTTACAATACTAGAGCTCTTTGATTATATTTATGAGGTAAGATTTGGAACTGCCCGGGGTACATTTCTTTGATATGCTGATGCTCCCTTCCCATTCCCAGGCTCTTGAACTCTTTCCACTCACCCAGATCCCTGCTTCTCTTACTGTCTACTCATATTATTCATCACCTAATCCTAGGCATGGGAGGTTCCTAGAAGGGGTAGATGTGGGAGATATAGAAGCCATAATCCTAGGATGGGGAATGGTAAGAAAGGTGGGCTAGCTCCAGGTAGGGAGAGAGCATGGGGATGGGAAGAAGGAACCAGATTATGCTGGTAACTCCCAATGCAAGTCTGAGGATGTAGCATCATACTATGGGTATGTCCCAATCTACACATACACACACACACACACACACACCACCTATACATCCCACATCATATACAGTCACACTACACTCAGACGTAAGTATATAATACACAAAACACTCCATACATATGCGCTACACACACACACACACACACACACACACACACACACACACACACGCCATGCACAAGCTGCCCTCTGGGTGACCCACCTTCTGATTACTGGCTTCCTTTGGCCTCGTCAGTCTTAGGAAAATGGCAGTTTCCAGCAATTCTCATCCATCTCCAGTAGGGGACCATGATACACCATACAAGCCAGTGCCTCTGCTGTTGTAGGTCTGGAGAGATGTCTCCCTCCAGAGGCAGCTGGAGCCTCTGAAACTCCCTCCACAGCAGAGAGAGTCTGGGAACCCCTGAAGGAATGAACACACACTTGGACTGCATTGCCCTGGATTGATCCGGGCAAAGAGCTTGTACCCAACCAGCCCCTGAAGAGCAGCGCAGAGTTAGGTGTCAACCTACACCAGGAAACATAGCAGCTTTCTTGTGGCTCCACTGTTCACAGGAGGCCTCCATCTTCCTGGATGTGAAATGAGCAATGCTCTTTACTCTCGATGTGAATATAGACAGACCTGGTCCTGAGAGGTCCCTTAAGAAGTCCTGGTGACAGGCAAGCAGACAGGATGCTGTAGAGTAGCATTTCGCCTCCCGGGAAAGACCCTGTGACCAGGGTCTTCTGAAAACTCTCTTGCCTCTCAGCTTGATGACCCTCAACCCAAATAAAGTCTCCACAACCTGTTTTATTCTCTGCTTTGTTTATTAATCTTTGTGAAAAGCTGTACAGTGTTCTAGCTGGGCAACATTTTAAGAACTGTCCTTCATTCCTAGCAATACAATATTATGAATCAGATGTGCCTTCATCTAATGGACTGTGGAGCTATCAGGCCTAAAAATGGTCCTTGTCCTCCAAGCCCAATCTCAGAAAGAGATCCCCGGCTGTTCCTCAGAATGCCTAGAGAGCTAGACATACCAGCATGTTCGGTTTATCTACAGGCTCCATTCACAAGAAAAAGGCTGTCCACACTGTACAGGGGACCTCCTACTCTTGCTTCTGAGCTTTCTCCCACAACTAAATCCCATGTGGGGCCAAAAGGTCCACTTGAGACATATGGACTCCTGGAGCTGTCCACTGGGCAGGGCTCTTGACCCTTGGCCCAGTCATCAACTAGATGGCTACCACCTCTATGTTTCCCCAGTACAGTCCAGTAGGGGATGGGGGAGGGGGGCATTCTACCTTTGAAACTACCCTCCCAGTCTAATCATCCCTTTCCTCCTGCTTTTTCTTGCAGCTGATCAAAGAGAAGCTATTAGACCTGCTTGGCAAAGAGGAGGATGAAGGGAGCCCAGATGAGAACGTGGTAAGAGTGGCTGCTGGGTTGGCTTTGCATAGGCCACATGCAAGCAGTCCCTAGAGCCAGTGACTCACTGCATAGCTTTCCACAACTGCAATGCCTTGTCATTCCCCAAGTCCAAGGATGCTCCGACTGACCCTCATCCCAAAGGCCAGTGGGTAAGCCACAGATGTGGCTGATCCCAGGACTAGCTTCCATAGGTAGGTCCTGCCTAGCTAAGTCCAGCTTCTCCCAGGCTATGGATCTACTCCTGTTTCAAGACAGACTCTACTTCTATGTTCCCTGGGCAAGGGTGGCAAAACACAAAAGCTGTGCCACTGGCATCCATCCCATTTGATGGGACATATGGGTCCCCATGAAGTTGAGAATAGCAATGAGATCTATTTGTAGGTACTGTCCATGCTGGGTTCAAGATAGGCACTGTTCTGTGTGCCTGTAGATCACATCACGATAGCCCCATAGCCACCCTAGAGAAAGGTTTACCTGCATCTCCTTTTTGTATCTGAGGCCATCAAAGCCTGGAGGCGATGGTAGCACAGCACTTGAATATCAGAGTTGGACTCCAGGCATCTCTAACTGCCACTTCTGTACACCCAGACAAGGGGCTCCTAAGGCCAGTTATCACTGTCGTTTCCTAAACCTCAGATCACTCCTGGACTCAGGTCATGGGGAGCTGGCTCTCCTCAATAGTGGACCTCAGAGAACCATAGCTGCTAATCCCCTAAAGTCACCCAATCCCAAATGGATCCCAGCCCCTTCTCTGAACAGATTCCCAGTTCTGCTCCAGACACTGTGTCTCCACCAGTCTCCCAGGTGAAAAGTCTCACTTCAATTCTCTCAAGCCCCGCAGCCTCTGTTGAGCAGAAGGCAGCCTCTGCTGTGGGGAGGGGTGGAGGGAGGTGGGAGGGAACAGTATGGAAAGAAAAGGCCCAGATTCTAGTCTTAACTGGTGTGGCTGGATCCCAAGTCTTCTGCTTCTTAGCTGTAGGCTCCAGAGTAAGTTATTTAACTTCTCTGAGTCTATCTTCCTAAGATCAAAGGCTCTCAGATGGTGGTCATGGGGATTAAGTGAGATCTTGCCTGTAATCATCATACTGTGTTGACAGTAAGTGCTCAGAAAGTGGTGGTTCCTTGGCTCTCCCAAGGGAGTTATCGCTTCCCTAATTCCCACCTTTCTGGGTCTTCTTCCCCCAAATCTGTCTTCATCACATCTCCCCCAGATTCCTGGCACCACCTCCTACTTCGTCTCCCTGCTCCCACTTCCTCTGACTTCCCACTCACTGTAGCCCTTGGAACTGCTTGAAGATTTTAGAGCCACCTCAGCTCCCACCCTGCTCAAGGACCTACAAGGACATGTCCCCAAGGCCCGCTTTACCCTAAAGCGATAATCTGCTCTGCTTCTCACCTGTAGGGGCTTCTGCCCTTCCTGCTTGGGCCTCCCCCATGAATTTTTAAGTTGAATGAATGATAAATACACGCTTTGTTCCGTCCCTGCAGAGCACTTGTGACACGATGCCAAACCACTCCGAAACCATCAGCCACACTGTGAATGTGCCCCTGCAGACAGCCCTGGGCACTTTGGAGGAGATTGCCTGCTGACACCCCTCAGGCTACCCAGCACCTCCAAATAGACCTTAAGGCCCAAGACCTAGGACAGGGGACAGCAAGCTCAGGTGGGATGGCCCCTGAAGACAGAAAGAAGCAAGAGCCCCCTATGCACACATTGCAAAACTTCTGCCAAACCTCGCTCCGGCCATGTCTGACATGAAGCGTCCCTGAGCCCCGCCGTGTGTCCTCGTAGGAGAGATGAGTCACACTGGAACTGTCCAAGAACCAACCTGCCATCACATCTCACTGCCAGATGTATAAAGCACCTGCATGCTCAGACTTCTTACAGCCAGCACCACCTCCACATCTGTCTTGTACATGATACTCCTCCGTGTGGTCTCCAGCATCTGTGCGGTGGGACCTGATGCCAGCCCCTCAACATCGCCGTGAGGCCATGCTGGAATCAACACTACACAGCCCAGAAGGAAGCCGCAGAACTCTCTATGATGTTCAATTCCTGTGTCCTTTGTGAAGATTCTTAACCTACCCAAGAACCCCCACTTCCCCCAAACTAGCCCCTGGGGGGGTCTGGCACCAAAGGTGACCAGTGCCAACCTCCCTTTCACCCCAGCGCCTGTGGAGGTGGCACAGTGGCCTGGGTGACCCCACTATCCATCCATGGAGCCACGTTGTTCTGTGACACCGCTGTATAGTCTGATTCTTTTCATTTTAATTTGGAGGGGCTTTTTGTTTTTGTTTGTCTATTGAAGATCATTTTGCTTTTGTTTTGTGGCTTTTCATTTTGATGTTCTGAGGTTTGGTTGTTTTTTTTTTCTTTCCTTTCCATTTTCTTTGGAGTTTATTTATTCGTGCTTTGACTCACAGTCATATTAAAAGCTGGTCTTGTGGAAATGGCTGTCATTTATATTTTTTCTCCACATCTAGATCACTCTCTGCCCCAGAAGGTAAGCGAAGGGTCAGATCTTCCCACCCAAAAGCTGCAGGTGACGTGCTTAGGTAGCTTTATATGCAACCCTTACTTGACAGAATGTGCACACCTTGTATTTTATCTGTTCTAAATGGTTCCCAGTGGTGGGTCACAACGTGGCCAAGGATGTCACCACCCATTGGTAGTTCGCAGCCCTTTTTCTGTAGGCCACTGCTCCAGACCATGGGACATGGAGAAGGGAAAGCTGCCTGCATCTGAAAGCCACAATGGAGGCCTTCTAGACCTCTGTGCTCTGTGTGCTACCCTGAATCCTCCCAAAATTGACCGGGGAACCTAGTGTGATCTCCCTCCCACACATCTCAACTTCTCTCCACCCCACCTCCCCACCCCCATCAAAGGTCACTTTTGCAACCCCTTTCTATCTATGGCTCCTGAGACGGTATCCAGATAGGGGCAGGAGGTTGGGAGCTATGTTTGGAGAACACAGGAGATGTGTCTTTTTTTAGCCTCCAGGAGCAGTCCCTTTAGCCTAACCTTTTGCTTCTCACAACTAATCCCCAGCTCTCCCAATCCAGGGTCACCCCACCCCAACCCAACAATAAAGAAAAGGTGCTCCCATCCTTGCGTGCAGATGAATGGATAACACTGGCCAGACCAGGGGCTCAGGATTTTAGTCTCTGCTCTTATCACCTTCTTCCTTTGGAAAGTCCCTTGTGATTGGGTCCACCAGATAATCCAGGGTGATCCCTCCATTGCAAGGTATTTAACTCAATCACATCTTCAAAGCTTCTTATACTCTGTAAGGTACAAATATAATCTTCCATGCATGGAAGGTTCCAGGCATTAGGATGTGAACATCTTTGGAAACCATTATTAGGCCTTTCACAGATCCATCAGACCCTGTGGCCTAATGAGTAGACCCAAAGGGGGAAGGGAAGAGACCAACCTGGGAGCACCTACAGCTCCCAGGCTTGCAATCCCATCTGTAGACCTATCAAGAAGACCTGCTTAAAACAGTAAGGACTCAGAGTGGTCATTCCTCCAGGCTGTGTCAAGCCTACCCCTCCTTACACCTGCCTGCAAAATGTCCTGCTGGTCTCCTAGACTGCCAGATGGAGAAGGACAAGGGTCTGATTGCTCCTCTCAGGGATAAGAATCAAAGGAAATGTCTATGTGGATTGTCAGGAATCTGTTTGGTGCTTCTGCCTTGTCACAGTTTAACAGCTCCATAATTTTTTTTAATCCATAGCTTAAATTGCTATTTGAAGTGCTTCAGTGGATTTCTGGCTTCCTTTCAGGAATATATATATATATAGATAGATAGATATAGATATAGATATAGATATAGATATATAAATTTCTGATGGAGCAAAGACCATTAGAACACATTTGGATTTCTTCCACTTCACAATCTTATGCACCCCTTCTGATTTGAGGATTTGGGCTTCAATAAGCTTGAATCAAGCCCTCATACTTATTAAGAGAGATAATAAAGATAGATAGATGATGGATGGATAAATAATGTAGAGATTTATGAACTCAAAAGAACAAATCAATATTAATTGGTAGTTTAAAAAAAAGACACAATCTAAATACCACTGAGTGCTGGGGTGTTCTTATTATTGTCATTGCAAACAACTAACTGTGTCCAGTTATCTCTTTAATGAAGATCTGGGTAGATCAGGTAGTCAGAGGAAACTTAAGGATATGTAGTTGTTTCAGGAATGACTTTAAAAAAAAAAAAAAAGATAACGTAGATGGCAGGGGTTGGAAGCAATCTCAAGTCCAGACCACAAGACTGGATTCTCAGTGATCTCATAGGTTCAGATAAATTGATTTACCAATGGCATGGGACCTCAGAGACAGAGTCTGAGGTGGCTGCAGTGGGGGAAGCAACGGAAGGAGTGGTTCTGTAAGTACCCTGCTGGGCCTGTGTTGCCTGCTCACAGACTGTTGCTTTGTTGTTTTTGGCAGAAAGGCCAGAGTTATTTTATTTTACTCTTTCCAGCTTGAAGCTATTTGTGTGAGTTTTAACCATGATCACATCGCGCCTAGCCAAGAAGCTTGTAGAGCCACAAGCACTGCCAAGAGGGAGATGAGAGTCCCCAGAGGGTCCCCTGTAGAGCAGGCATAGAGATGTAGGAGGCAGCCCAGCCCGTGGGTGCAAGCGCGGGGAAGCTACACTCAGCCCATCTGAGCCCCACAGGCTAAGGAAGAAAAGCTAATTCCCACTTCCCCCTCATAAGCTCAGAGACTCCAATTCCACTACTCTGTGTGGACCCAGGGCCTCAGTTGAGGCTCCATCAGATAAGTTCAGGAATTAGAGAGAAGAAAGGGGACTCAGAGAGGGCAAGGAATTTGCTTCTGCAGAGAGAACGAAGTGATCTGAATCCACACGCAGGCAGGGCAGACCTCATATGACTTAGAACAACCTTCCTAGCCAAGGTGGGGAGAGAGCAGAGGAAGGAAGGAGAGGGGCTAATGTGGGAAGGACACTGGGCCATCATGTATCCCACTGATGGTTATGCATCAGACATACATATAATCAGAGCAGGGAATATTAACAAGTGCACAAATGACTCTCAGATATGAGTAGCTTCCAGTTGAATAGACATGAGAGAGAAGAATATTTCAGGAGATTCCAAACAAAGGACACAATCAGAAGTAGGGAGGAATTGAAGATTGAAGGGCCTGGTCATTGATCTGACCCACTGTCATACCTGATATCCTTCGAGCTCCTTCCTCTGGCTGCTCTCAAGAGTCTATGAGACATTTCTCAAGCCAAAGATTATTGAAGCTGAGGACTTTCTTCCCCCTCATCTGGGCTTCTTACCTCTCTCACACAGAATCTTTAACGCGTGTACTGCTGTATTCCTAATGCTAAGAGGTGGAATATTTTGTGGGTCATAAAACAGAATAGAACCCATCCATGCCTGAAAGCAGGCAAATGCAATGTAGCATTCGACTTAAATGTTCATTTGCTTTTCAAGAACAAAGACTTGAACAAGAAATCAAAAGACTAGGTTGCTAACTTGTCCCTGCTATAAGCTGCCCACATGATTTTAGATAGTTCTCTCTCTAAACCTCCATTTGCTCCTCTATGAGAGAGGAGGGAAAGGGACATATAATCCTTTTGGTTTGTGCTTCTCTGCTCTAGCCATCCATGAGAGACTAAGTTGGGAATGGAATATCAGGCCTGTGAACAAATGCTTGACTTACTGCTCAGAGCCTCTGTTTTCCTGTCTATAAAATGGGTATAATTAGTCCTCATTTTTCAAGGTTAATTATAGGGATTAAATTAGCTAAAAGTGTAGAAAACACTTTCTAGCCAGGCTCTGGTGGCTCATGTCTGTAATTCTATCTTCTCAGGATTGAGGCTCAAAGCCAGCCTGGGAAAGTCCATGAGAATCTTATCTCCAATTAACCACCAAAGAGCCAGAAGTAAAGCTGTGGCTCAAGTGGTCAAATACTAGCCTTGAGCAAAAAATAGGTTAGAGATAGTGCCCAGACCCAGAGTTCAAGCCCCAGGATTGGCACACAAATAAAAACTTTCTCATGGGCTAGGAAGGTGGCTTAGTGGTAGAGCACTTACCTTGAATGCATGAGGCCCTGGGTTCTATTCCTCAGCACCACATAAGAAAAAAGAAAAAAGCCGGAAGTGGCGCTGTGGCTCAAGTGGTAGGGTGCTAGCCTTGAGCTGAAGAGCTGAGAGACAGTGCCCAGGCCCAGAGTTCAGACCCTACGACTGGACCCAAAAAATAAAAAATAAACAAAAACTTTCTCGAATTTCCCATCTTTTTTCATCCCATAAAACACTGATTCTGAATCTCACTTGGATCGCTGACTCTTTGAAAAATAAGATCAAAGCTATGAACTTCTCTTGCCCCTGAGAAAAAAAATGCACATCATCATACAGATGTAAAATTTCATATGTAATTTTGGGAGTATTCCGGGTTCCCAGATGTTCTATGGACCCTGGGTCTCCCTTTGACCTAGGAAGCACTAAACAATCTTCAAAAGAACTTATCATCAGTACCACAAAGACCCACCAGCATTTCTTCTTCTAAAATGATCGAATGGCTGCAATTTTTCAATTGACAGAAAGAAAGGGATGGGATTTGATCAATTTCAAGGGTTTTTTCTCTCTCTTTAATTTTCTAAACCTTCTGCACCTGCTGCAGCTTTGGAGCAAGTGTTCTCACAGATGGCAAAGTGAATGAGCAAGCAGAAAACTTAGAAATGTAATTTAATGAAATTATTTTATGCATGTGAAGATTGTCAGGGATGAAGAGACCCGCATACATCAAAAGGGAAAATAAGAGTATTCTCAAATATCCACATGTATGTCCTAGTCGCTAAAAGATGGTCATGCCAGGCACTGATGGCTCACATCTGTAATCCTAACTACTCATGAGGCTGAGATCTGAGGATTGTGATCAAAACCAGACTAGGAAGGAAAGTCTGTAAGACTCTTGTCTCCAATTAACCACTAAAAAGCTGGAGGTAAAGCTGTGACTCAAGTGGTAGAGTACTACTCTTGAGCAAAATAAAAGGCTCAGGAGCACCACCTAGGTCCTGAATTTAAGCTCCAGGATGACAAAAACAACAACAACAAATGATGTGATCATGTCTCTGCATCCCAGAGAACATTCTCTGATTGCAGCTGAGCCTCCACACCCATCTTGGGTGAATCTCTGATTTCTGAGCTGGGCTACAGTGGTTGGTTGATCATTTGTTTGTTTAAAGAAAAATCCACACCTGATAATGACTATGATTGATGCCTTGGAAAGGGTGGTTTGGATGCCTTGCCTCCTTGGAAGCTATTGCTATATCACACTCATTTATCTAACTTACTGACTTTTGGAGCTATTTGTCTTTAATATGATTTAAATTCCTGTGGCTTCCTTTTGAAAGGAAGTATATCCAACTTAAAATAGGCCTAATACAGCATGAGTTTGTGGGTACCAACTCATATCCAGCTTAACCAGCCTTAGAAGGAAGAAATATCAAGATGCAGCAGGAAGAAGATGGAGATCCTCATCCTGAGTTCATCAACCCACATGCATCTCATCTGTGTGCCACTGAGTGCCAAGCACTGCACCAGATGCTAGTGACTCAGATATCAAGAAGGCATGAGCCTTACATTCAAGAAGCTCAGGGACTGGTTGGTCAGTGGCAGGAAACAGGCCGAGCACTAGGCCCTCAGCCCAACAAGAGCCTCCTTCACCTGTATCTATGGTATAAAAGGACAGCTGAGCATTTACCCCACCCTTAGTGCTAAAGACACAGAAGAGCCTGCTTCAAATCTGTCTCATGGGGCCACACTAGTACCAGAATAGAGGGACTCACCCAGCTTTACAGAATTCACTTAATACTCTCCACTCTCCATTAAAATATCTGCCATTGTATCCAAGCCATTCCTTCTCCCTCATCTCTTCCTTCTCAGCAAAGAGTAGAGAGGACACAATACAGAGCTCATAAGGAAGCTCAGATCATTAGACACACTCAGAGCTGTCCTCTTCCTCCTTCTCCTCCTCCTGTTCCTCCTTCTCCTTCTCCTTCTCTTCCTCTTCCTCCTTCTCCTTCTCTTCCTCCTCTCCTCCTTCTTCTTCCTTTTCTCAACTCTGATTGAACCCAAGGTCTCATGCATGCACTCTATCACTTGAGCTGTTCCTCCAGACCGAGAAGCATTTCTTGAGCCCTGCCCCCCTCCAACCCTGCCCCAGACACCAGGCTAGGCTCCTCATTGCTCTATATTATTCAACTGACACAACATCACAAGGTGGCCTTCATTAACACCCCTGGCTCATGGTGGATGCTGAGCTTTAAGAGGTAGAATGATTTCCCCAAGGTCAAGCAGCTAAGATAAGGAGAAAACTCATCATTCCATTTTTGCTCAAACTGTGCTGATCTTCCTCTGCTCCAAGATACAGCCTAAATGGCAGTAGGTAGGACTTGGATAAAAAGCCCCTGGAGTGGTCCCCTGAAAGGCAGAGAGTTTCTCTAAGAAAGCTCAGGAGACTGTGCTAACTTGCAGTGATGCATAGGCCTGAGACATAGGTAGTTCTTTGATTTTCTTTCAGAGCTGAGGACTGAACTCAGGCCCTGTGCTTGTCAGTTAGTCTTTCCCTGAGCTAAATCCCCAGCCCAACATCGGTAGTTCTTTACAATACCATTGAATAAATTATTGCATATAAAAGGTTATGTATCTCCCATTCATTCTACAAACACTAGATTGAGTGAATGAGTGCCTATCTTCCATCCATTCATTCCACAGGTTCACTCATTTATTGTGTGATAGCTATTCCAGGTCCTGGAGACAGAAGGAACACACAAATTCCCTGCCTTTCAGGTACTTGAAATCTAATATAAAGAGATTGAAAAAGGGCTACACATAAATTCAATGAGAATGAAGTTATTTCAACAGTGCAAAATAGCAACAAGAAGATGTAAGGTCCCTGTTGTCACTGGTTGCAATAGAGCCACTCTGTAGAGGTGAAACTGATATAAGACTGGGGGGGGGGAGAAGAAATGGTTACTGGAATATTTGAGGACATGACATCCCAGGAAGGTATGTCCTGTGGTAGAATCAGCTTGCTACATCCACAGTACAGAGTTTATGGAGTATAATAGATAAGGGGAAGAATACTTTGTCCACACCAGCTAGAAAAAATTTTCTGGGTAGTTGAGGGATCAATCAGTAGTAGTCAGCTAAGCTCTGATCATGGCAGACCTCATACACCAAGCTAAAGAACTTGAACTTCAAACCTGAAGGTAAGAAAAAGCACTGGGTCAGGAGACAAGACAAAAACAAAAAGAGAGAGCACACTCGGAGGGAAAATTGGAGGATGGCAAGGAATGAGACCAGAGGCAGGCACACTTAGGAAGATGCTGGGATCTGTATGGGCAGAAGGAAGGACAATTTCCAGACATGATATGACAGTAAAGTAGGCAGGGCTTATGTAGCTGGGAGAACATGGAGCGAGACAGTTACGTGGAAGCAGGGAAACACCAGGATGTAGCCTGGTTATTCTGCCCAGCCTGAGCGCTTCTCTTAGAAGCTTGACTCTGAGTCTGGCACTCCTGGCATGCTCGCTGTTATTCCTCAATATGGGGCAATCTCCCTGGCCTTGGTCAAGGCATTCTCCCTTAGATATGCCTCTGACTCCACTTGCTCCTGGTCAACCCCCCCAGCACAGCTCTCTGGGGTCCCTTGTCCAGACTTAACATTTTCCCAGCCTAACATTGCAGAGTCCCAAGGCCATAATGGAAGTTCAGAGTCTCCATATTCTTTGAATAACTCTCCCCTGGGTTCTATGAGCCTTGGTCCACCTATAAGCTGAATAGGCCCGTGTGGAGCCATCAGAAGTCTGAGTGGAGTGAAAGTGGAGAGCACAATCCAGATGAATAGAGACTGGGTCTCTGGCAATAGCACAGTGACTGAGATCCACATGTGGGGTCATATTGACCCCAGTATGGATTTTCCATTTCCAGACATGTTCTCTTATGCATCAAATGGGGATGATAATGGTACTTACGTCTTAGTTATTAATCTAGGGTCTAAATTATAATGTGGGGCACACAGCGTTTGCTGTAAAGGCAACAATCTCTCTCTACCTATGATTTAATAGATCCATTAGTCATTGATGCCTACTCTTAGCCAAACATTTTTTAATCATTGTCACTTGTATGAACAGCGTGTTTGTGCATCCCTACACAGCCCTGTGGGTTTTCTGCCCCAGTAGCATTCAAAGATAGCAGAACAGGCACGGGCATAGAAGACCTGAGTGATATTGCAGTCTCCTCTCCAGTAGTCACAGCCATGCCTCAACCAACAGTTCCATACTTGCAGGGTTTTGAGAACAGTCTTTCTAGGACAATCTACAATGTGAACTTCAGACACTGCTTTCTCACACATCTTCCCATCACCTTTATTATTGCTCTTGCCACTACATCCACTGTGATCCTAAGATTTGCTCTTTTAGACACACAAGTATCCTATGGGAACTGAGACACCCATACCCACACACATACCCACACCCACACACACACACCCACACACACACACCTGATTTTCTGGTCAATAGGAGACTGTGCTGCCTTCTTCTGAGTTTCTTGTACACTGAGGAAAGTAGAACACTCCTGCTAGTTGTGAAGGTTGCTGCTCCCAAAGTGACAGTCCATCCTTACCCCATTCTCCAGCATCCCAGCAATAGGCAAGCAGTGTATGATGATTTCCCTGCCAGAAAGTGACCAGCCACCGCTATCAGTGGCACTTGAACCTCCCACTTTTAGAGAGCACCGAAGAGCAAGGTGAGCAATGACACTAAAGCCTCAGGGGTCATCTTGCAGTCACTGTACCCCCACCTCCTGGGGACAAGAATTTGTTAGCAGGAACATATTAGGAGGACCAGCGACCGGCATCTGTGACCCGAGCCACAGAAAATAAGAAGAGTGTGAGGACTCTTCCAAATAAACCAGAGGTACAGAATGACCTAGCTAGAGTTGACAGGTAAAAATCTAGAATGTTCCAGTTAAATCTGCATTTTAGGTACACAAGAAATAGTTTTGTTCACATTTTATTTTATTACTCCCTGAAATTCAAAAGCTTGTACAAGAGGGTTACAATTTAACATGTCCATCTAAGTGTCCAGTGCTTACAAGAAGTAATTATTAACTATAAATTTGATCCATACAATCTTTGGAGCATACGTAAAATGTACTTGTGTATCCAAAATTCAAATGAAACTAGGGAATCCTGGTTTTTATTATTGTTGATGTTTGCTTTACTAAATCTGGCAACCCTAGACCTGAGCTGGGCCAGGTGTGGGAAAAGGGGGAAAGTGTGGAAGGCCAGTCCAGGTGGACAGGTGAAGAAATAATTAGAGACATTAGCTCCAATTTGGCACCTGCAGACACACTGAGAGCTAAGGTCCGCGCTTACATTAAACTCTACTTTATTAGTTGGCGTGTCTTCCCAACCCTGGGTCAGAACCAACATTTCTCAGCCCGCTGTGCATGGCTCCTAGCCTGTGTGCATAACTTGGTCCGTCCATCTAGAAGTCGCAGCCATCAACCCAGTCTCGAAGATCCTTGCCCTGGCAGTGATGCCTCCAGGCCTCCCTGGGGACAGGAAAAGGGAAAGAGGAGAGGCCACATCAGCCACAGCCTTCAGGAGCAGGAAGGAGAGATGGGCTCTAAATAAACAGAGTCTAGTGAGGGGAAGAGGAACAAATAAACTGAGTTAACAAGTAAGGAAAGCAATGGCCCTGAAATTTTCAATATCTAGTCATCTTGTTTTGACATTGAAGGCATAAACTGATATGCTCAAATTCACCCATCTGTCATTGGTAAAGGCCTAGAGCCCTGGAGTGTGGGGCTTGGAGCTAATGTTCTTTTCCTATGCTAATGCTTCTGGTATTAGTGCTATTCTATTCTATTCTGTACTATTCGATTTATCGTATTATATATTACTTCCTCGACTATTAATTCTGCTATTAATGCTTCTGATACCATCTTGCACGTGCCCCACCCTTCACAGTTTGCATAACACCATCATACTTATCACCTTTTTTCCTCTCTTTTGTTTTTGTTTTTGTTTTTTGTTGGTCATGGGGCTTGAGTGCTGAGCCTGGGCACTGTCCCTCAGCTCTTCAGCTCAAGACAAGCTCTCTACCACTTGAGCCACAGCACCAATTCTGATTTTCTGAGTGGCTTATTGGAGAAGAGTGTCTCACAGATTTTCCTGCCCAGGCAGGCTTTGAACCACAATCCTCAGATCTCAGCCTTCTGAGTAGCTAGGATTACAGGCATGAGCCACCAACACCCAGCCTTATCACCCTTTTCTGCTTGCCTCTAGATGCTCTATTAGGTAGATTGGGCAGATTCTACACTCTCTACTTTTCCCATTAAGAAAAAACACTCAAACTATGATGCAAAATTACTTATCCAGAGTCTATGGCTACTTAATGATAACTGGCCCCCACTCAGTTCCCCTTTAACAGCCAATCTGAATATTTTCATTGATGGTTACTCTATAGACTCTTTGGGGGACCATAGCCTGGTTCCAGCTTAGAGCTGAGCTTATTTTGAGGAAGACAGACCCTACAGTCCACAAGCTCCATGTTCTCAGCGGTCCCACACTTTGATAACTAGTGCCCCCGAGGATGTCAGTGTCAAAAAGCTCAATCACCAAGAGTGCCCCTAAAAAAGCCCTAATCCCCTATCAGCCAAGAAAGATCAATTGGCTTGTCTCTTCTGCCAGACCCTGAGCCTGAAGCACCTGAGTCCTCAGTGCTTGCGTGAGGAATGAATGGACTCTTTCCTCTTTGGGGAGGCCACTTTCCATGACTAGCCTCAGCCACCTCTCAGGACTTATCCTAGCCAGGAATTTACTCCCAGTGTGTGAAAGAGACTTGTTCTCTGACTTAGCCATCCATCCCAGAGTGGGGACCTTGAGGCTTCAAGCCCTTTGGTTAGTGCCAAAGGATACATTCCTCCTTCTTGATTGTACATATGCATTATGTCTTAGAGAATCTGTCTCATCCCAAAGTTCATTCCTAGGGCTTCAACTGTTCTCAAACCAACACAAATGCCAAAGCTGTGACAATTTCAGGGTCATGTTTGTCTCCTCTCACTCCCTTTTTAAGCAATACCTCACCTGTCCCAATACCTCTTCCACAGTCCCTCTTATCATCTTTCATAGTCATCTGTGGCACATCTCTCCCTCTCCAGACCCTCCATTGCTCATCTAGACGCCTGCAGAGCCATCCAAGGTCCCCTCCCCATGCCCACACACATGCTTCTACTCTCCTTTCCTTCCTTATGATTGTGGGCTGATCCTCAATGTCCAACTCTCACCTCTGTCCATAGTTCTAGATCTTCAGGCCCTTGGAACATCCCACATGCTTCTCACACAACTCCTTTGCATATGAAGAGGGTTGGAAGGCTGGGAGGAGGGACAAAACAAAACTGCAAGCAAGAGGCTCCACAGGCCCACCTCTGCTTCAAGCAGAGAATTTCTTCTATCTCTTTTGGCTTGGAAGGTGGCTCAATGGTAGAGTGCTTGCTTAACATGCATGAAGCCCTGGGTTCAATTCCTCAGTACCACATACACAGAAAAAGCCAGAAGTGGGGCTGTGGTTCAGGGACAGTGCTGAGGCCCTGAGTTCAAGTCCCAGGAATGGAGAGAGACAGAGACAGAGAGACAGAAACAGAGAGAGAGGAAAGAGAGAGAATTAATTTCTTCTATCTCTTGTATGGCTTGGGCTTTTATATAAAGTTTAGTTTTTTATGTAAAAGATGTCACCGTTTCAAAAATAATAATAAGCTTCTTAGACCCTGGCCCAAAGGACTTTTGAGACATCCTAGCTACAAGCAGATCTTGGAGGAGCCAGGCTCAGCTATGTGGCCACTAATGACTTTTTTATTCTGCCTTCAGTTGAGTGTGTCATCTGTAAATTTCTGGGTAGTGGGAATCCCCACCACCAACTGCTGGTTAGGCTAGAAAGCCTAGGGAACTTCCTGCTCTGACTCACCAATCTTGGACATACCATCTGAAGAGGGGGCTCCAAAATGACTTACTCACCAATAGCCTAGGCCTTGAGGCTCTTGGGCTATCTTCATGGCACAGATAACAGTGTCCTTGAGATTAGGGTTCAACAAGTCTAGAGTGAGAGGCAGAAAAAAACAATGAGGGAACAGAGGATAGAGCTAGTCATCCTAGAGTTTCTCTGTCTGTCTTCTCTGCATTTCTCTCTCTCTTATATGTGTACATGCACATGTGCATGCAAGCAAGTGTGTGTGTGCACATGCATGCACACCTCTATCTCTGAAAGAACATGTATTCCTCTGTCCAGCTCCCCTTCATCAAAAACAATCCCCTCTCCATCCCTACAACTGTAGGCTAGTCTCTCAACGCAAACCTCCTAATCGGCTTCATGGAAGTTACATCCACACTGCTTATACCCTATGCGTCTCCTGGGGAGGGAAAGTTGGAGGGGGAGCAAAGCAAACTGTGGAAAGAGAAGGCTGGTGTAGAGCCTGATTCCAGCCTACCAGTGCAGTACATCCGGCAGATGTTGATGGCATTTGGGGTGAGGTTTTTGCACCACCTCCGGCTGCTGATCTGGAAGAGGCCATTGTTGGTGCTGCCATCAGCTTCATGATCCACAGCAGCCGTGTTGAAACCACTTGTGAAATAAGCAAGGCAGACCCCTGGTGGGAAGGGGAGAGATACGTGGGGGGGGGGGGTCAGACACCAGCCTGGGGTCAGATGGCTGGGGCACTGTAGACCAGAATGTTCACAGTGCCAGACCCATGCCCTTGCGCTCCCAGCCTCACCTGCCCTGAGGAAGCCAGGGCAGACACCCTCCCACTTCCTTCTTTACAGATGGGTCAATTGAGGTTTAGAGGGCAAGGCAGGTTCCCCAAGGTCACATACAGCTGCCATACAGCAAGGGTCAAGATTGGATTTCAGTCCTTGCTGGCAATGTATTCAGTACCTAGGGGAGCTAAATCTGGAGGCAAAGTTAGGAAGACACAGGTGGTGTCTACAAAAGGGGGTGAACAGAGAGAAAAATGAATCCAGATGTGACAATAGACGGCTTCTTTAGAACTGCCACCAGATTGTTCACTTGGCCTTCTATACAGCATCAGGACTGTCTGGTCCTCATAGCCACAATGAAGTGTAGCATGTTAAACTGCTCCTTTGCTACCTGACTTTGAACAAATTGAAGGTGGATTTCCAATTTGGCAGCCTCTCACCTGCCTCTGCTATGTGGTTAACTCAATGCTGGACATGCTGCTTTATTATTATTATTGGTATTGGTATTATTATTATTATTATTTTGATGCCAGTAGTAGGTCTTGAACTTAAGAGGCTAAGCATTGTCCCTTAGCTTTTATCACTCAAAGATGTTGCTCTCCCACTTGAGCCACAGCTCTGCTGATTAATGGAGACAGTGGATTTTCCTGCCTGGACTGACTTTGAACCACAACCCTGAGGTGTCAGTTTCCTGAGAAACTTGGAGACTGGTCATAACTGGGGCCCAGCTAGGGCTGGACATTCTTGACCTGTCATCTCCCTTACTCCTCATTTTACGTGATAGCTAAGTTAAAAAAGAAAATCCCAAGACCCTTGAAGGAAAAGGAATGAGGGATGATGGTGGGAGGGCGTAGAGAGAAGAGGGAATTGAGGGAAGGAGGTCCTTACAGTCAGCCAAGTCGTATCCCCGAAAGCCATCCAGACCAAAGTTCTGGAGCACTCTGGCCAGCTCACAGCGACTGTAGACCTTGGCCTCACTGGAGGGGAGTAGGCAGCTAAGGAGAGACAGGAAAGCCAGCACTGCAATCCCAGAGGGGCACAGCTGCTTTCTGGGAGCTGGGCTCCTGGTTTCCATATGGGTGCCACAGGTGCAGCCCCCGCCACTCTGGCTCCACGCTGAGTTTTCTCACAAACAGTCCTGGTTGTTGGTCCACTTACACACAGCTACACCTCGGAAGAAGAAGGAAGGGCAAGAGTCTTATTGTACCACTTGGAAACTGGAGAAGCTTGTGACAGAAATCTCCAAGGAAGTACTAGCCATGATCCCAAGATTTTTCTCCTCCCCAGTCCTGCTCCACTCCACCCTGCCCCAGCAGCTGAGGGGAGAAAAAGGGAAATGGAGGAGAAAACTCTAATAGTTTGAGCTCCAGACTACATGATTGGTGTTATTTTGTCCTAAGGCTCAACAGTTGACAACTAGGAAGGGAGAAAGTTTGGACTGAGACCAAAGTTAATATGAATGCAAAGCCCTGAGCAGTGGATAGCACAAACCAATCCCCAAGCCCAACACCAAAGACCATCTCTCTTCCAGGACTGAGTCTCCTCTTGATCATAACTGAGTCAGAGTCCCTGAGAAGACCTGTCTTTCCTCTGAACTCTAGATTTCATCCCTTCCCATCTCCAAGCCTTATTCCATCAATCACCCCTTCTCCCTAGTACCACATTAAAAGAAAAGAAAAGAAATATCACTATACCCTTCACCCATCTCCAGTCCACAATCCTCTTGGTCTACCTTCCCTCCGAGAAAAGTCTCCCCTAAATTCAAACTAGTATCCTGGCTTCTCTTATAAAGATCTCTGTGTCCAGTCTTGACCCCTGTTCCAAACTCTCCTATGCACACATGCCCCAGAACAAATTTAAGTGCAAAACCTAGCCATGTGTGTAAACTCCCACCACCACAGCTCCAAAACATGGGCCACAAGGCCATGGGCCCACCCCTGCTGCCCTGTCCTTCATTCACACATTCACTTCTGGCAATGACACATTGTCCACTCAGGAATAACTGTCTAGAACTTTAGACCTCTCCTCACCTCCACATAGTTAGCTCTCACAATGTCTCAAGGGTCATGGCATGTCTGAGTTCTCCAGAGAGAGTCTCTTGACAGACCACAACCCCTACACTCCCACAGCACCTCAATCTTCTCCCCTCCCTCCATCACATTGAAGTGTAATAAGCATCAATCTTCCCACTACTAAGAAAATGACTTATGTGCCAATACTGGGACTTGAACTCAAGGTCGAGAAGCTGTCCCCTTAGCTTTTTTGCTCAGGGCCAAAGCTCTACCACTTGAGCCACAGCTCCACTTCTGGCTTTTTGCTAGCTAATTGGAGATGAGAGTTTCACAGACATTCTCTCTGGGCTAGAATCCTCAGATTGCAGCCTCCTGCATAGCTAGGATTGCAGGCGTGAGCCACCGGCACCTGGCTCCCTAACAAACTTAAAACAGTGGTCTGTTCTTATTTATCTTCATATACTTAAAGCCAGGGAGAGTTGCTGGTATGCAGGGGCTACTGATAAGAATGCTTCTGAAACTCAAGTGCACTGAAGTCATGACCACTGGCACATAAGCCCATCTCATCAAAGCATGGAAAAGGAGATGGAGGGAGACAATTACCCTTGCCAAGCTCTCCAAGTCTGTCAGACACTGGGCCAGGCCTTTTTTGGATGCTTCCTACTCTTAATGTTAGCTAATCCTCTTAACAATTCAAAGGCGATGGGATTCATATCTTCAGTGTATAGATGAGAAACCAAGTTCACTGCTACACAGTGAGTGTTTTCAATTTCGTGGTATCTTGTATAGTAAAATGATTTAAGGATAAATCCATCCTGAACATTTCACAGCAGGGCCAGTTTAAGAAGCTAGATCAAAGAAATAACTCAGAGACCTGCTAGTGTGTGTGTGTGTGTGTGTGTGTGTGTGTGTGTGTGTGTGTGTTCCTCCCTCTCCCCTATCAGGCTCACAAACCAGAATACCCCTCACCTCTCTCTCTCTGCCCACCACCTTGCTTTTTCCATGCCCCTCTGGGTAATGGCTCCCAGAAGCAGGGGAAGGGGGCTCACTGATCAGGAATCCTCCCTGCCAATGCTGAGTCGATGGTGACAATGACAGAGGCAGCTGTGACTCAAAACCCCGCTTTAGCTAAAGATGACCCCCCACAATATCTCCAAGGGATATTAGGTATAGAAAACGGAGGTTCCAGACCTACCCAGAGCCTTCTAGAATGCCCTAACTTCTGTGAGATCGTCTTCTAGAACCTACACCACCTATGAATCTTTGCGTTGTCTACTGAAGTCCCTCCATTTCTGGGTCCAGAGCCACGTTAAGGCGACCTAATCTCCTCCTTTCTTGGCTTCTGTGCATGCAGGCCTCTACACACACACACACACACACACACACACACACACACACACAGTACTTGACTCTACTCTCCCAAGAGATGGTTGTTTCCTAGTCATGATGAAAGGTGCCCACTGCCTCCAGGCAGCCCTGAAACATGGGCTTTGAGGTCAGGTTGGCCTTGGCAGGTATGTAGACTCCACTCACTACCAGCTGAGTGGCCCAAAGAGTGGCTTAACCAATCTTTTTCCTCAGTTCTTAAATGGGAAAGACAGTGTATTAGAAGAGCTCAATAAAGATCTATAAGTGCATGGTACTCAGTGGTGAGGGCTCAATAAAAAAATTTTAAAATAGCCCTTTCAGACCAGGAGCTGGTGGCTCATGCCTCTAATCCTAACTATTCAGGAGGCTAAGATCTAAGGATTGCAGTTTGAAGCTACCCAAACAGGAAAGCCTGTGAGATTCTTATTTCCAACTTGCCAACAAAAAGAAGTGGAGCTGTGGCTCAAGTGCTAGCTCTGAGCAAGAAAAAGCTCGGGGACAGTATCCAAGCCCTGGGTTCAAGTCCCAAGACTTGTCCCAAGACAAAGAAGAAAACATAAATGACACTTCCTATTAAGAGCAGAGACATAACTATGTTTAGTTGTACCATGTTCACACTGTCTGGTCAGCCCAGCCCAGCCATAATAAAGAACTGAGCTTAGCCCTGCATGAGCATCCATGGGTTTTTTTTTCTTTTACTTTCTCTTTAAAAAAATTATGATATATATGGTCTCTCTCTCTTTCTCTCTCTCTCTTTCTCTCTCTCTCTCTCTCTCTCTCTCTCTCTCTCACACACACACACACACACACACACACACCACTCCTATTTAAAGCTCAAAAGAAATGCAGTGGTTTGTCTTAAAATGGGATGCGAACACTTAGCAGAGGGTCCGCCCTCTAAAGTTTTAAGTGTAGGATACATTAGTATTGACTGTGGGTCCAGTGTAGAGCAGATCTGTAGAACTCCTTCACCTTGCTCGAATGCATCTTCATGCCTCTTCCTACGTCCCCCCTCTCCACCTCCCACTCCCAGCCTCTCATACTCATTGCTCTACTCAGACTCTGAATGTGTCTAGGAAACTTCAATCTTTGCAGTCACTTGTCCTCCTCCAACTGGCTTATTTCCCTGAGCATACTATCCTCCAGGCATTCTGCTCCAGTGTACCCAGTAAGCCTGCCTTATTCATACATTTATTTATTATGTGCCATGTTGACCAAGCTCAGTCAAGAAAAATAATAAAATCATCCAAAGAAATGTCAAAAACAAACGTGCTGAGTTCCTGCACAGACAGGATGAAGCTCAGTGGAATCACAGAAGCTCAGTTAGACCTGGGTCATCAATTGGTTGTGTTTTTAAATTGTGTGTGTTTCCCTACCCTTAATTTGGGGAAAATTTGCCTCCCCAAAAAGCAAAATGTAAGATGGGTGCCAGTGGCTCATACCTGTAATCCTACCTACTCAGGAGGCTGAGATCTGAGGATTGTGGTTCAAAGCCAGCCCGGGCAGGAAAGTCCATGAGACTCTTATCTCCAAGGAACCACTAGAAAACCAGAATTGGTGCTGTGGCTCGAGTAGTAGAATGCTCGCCTTGAGCTGAAGAACACAGGGACAATGCCCAAGCCCAGAGTTCAAGCTCCACAACCAACAAAAAATAATAATAAAATAAAAAAACAAAATGTGCACACACACAAACATACACACACACACATAAGCCAAGGTAAAAGTTATAGTCATCCTCCTAAGTCAAAATGGGCTCCTAGTGTACTTAATTGAAGAGTGATAACGTCTGTTTGTTTGTCGTGGGTTTTTTTCCTCCATAGTGTCCTCCTGGAGACCACAGACCCACAGGGCTCCTGCGCCCCATCTTTATCTACTCTGCTACAGGTGGGCATCTAGGCTGTCTCTGTATCTTGGCCAAGGTGAGTCATGCTACAATGAATTTGGAAATGCTAATGTATATTCAGGAGTCTGATTTCAATTCTTTTGGATAAACACTCTCAAATAGGATGGCTAAATCATGGAGTAATTCAATTTTTTAACTTTTTTTTAAGGAATCTCCACATCATTTTTTGCTTTCATACCAGCAGGATTCTTAATTTTTCCATGTCCTTACCAGTATCTGTGGTCTTTGTTTTCCTGATAATGACTATTCAGATGTATGAAGTGATAGCTCATTGTGATTTTACTTTGCATTTCCCTGATGGCTAATAACACTGAGTATTTTTTTTTCAGATACGTGCTGGCTATTTATATATCCTCTTTGCAGAATGTCTACTTGTCATCATTAAAAGCTCTCCAGATAATTCCTGTTTGCATCTAGGCTCGAGCTTCTATTCATGGAATGAGTTCAGAACTTGGTTTGAAAACCTAAGTTTGGTGTCTGCCTCTGCCCTATTTGGTCTTGACATGTTAACCTCTATTCCTCATCCTTAAAATGGAGTCATTAACCCTCCCAGAGCAGTGTAAACTTGAACCTTACACTTCATCTCATAATTTCACCTTTCTCCTTTGTGACCTGGAAATAATCTTCCCTCTCAGGATGAAGGAGAAGCTTTCATTTTGTCAATGCATGAAGATCACACACACACACACACACACACACACACACACACACACACACACTTGCACTAGTACATCTTAGCTATTGTTTTTATTGCCTGGCCCTTGGTGGTGATTCTGTCTGCATGAGTTTTTTGAGGAGTTTTTACGA